GGGGGGGGGGGGAGATGATGAGATATAGCGTTGTAATGCTCTTCCTTCTTATACGTAGTAGGAAACACGCCTTCCTTACACGAAGTCGGAAAACACACCTTCCCTACAAGTAGACGGAACACATCATGAAGATTTCGGTGTTGGGGAGAGGGAAGGACGGAGGATGGTTGCGTATGCTTTGAACCGGGAGCAAGAAACGCCTACAATAATCAAGAGATATTATGCAGCGGGGGGGCGGGGGGGGGGTGACTTGTGCCGATCTCTCGCACAAGATGTCTCAATACTGCGTGAAGCTCCGACAAAACAACGAGCGACGACGACCGCAACCGCAACGGCAACGGGAACGACAACGGCTACTCCCGACACCACCACCAACAACAACAACAACAACAACACACCTGCCCCGTGATTATCTCGTAGAGCATAACGTATCGCCGCGACAGCTCTGCCACCAACTCCCTGGGAGCATCAGGAACAGTCTCGTCCTTGTAAGGGTCGCAGTGCTGCGTAACATTTGTTTCAAGACACGATCACGAATTTTTAAGGTCTTCCGACGGACGAGGGACATACGTTCATTTCAACGAAGCAGCGGCCCCGAGCGGAAACTGAGGGAGTGGCCGAAGCTGGGGCAGAAGTGCATTAATGTCCGTGTTCCCCGCTCCGCTCTGAACATACCTCGAGGCATGTATGTCCGAATTGGCAACCTACCGCAGGTTGCACAATATACCCAACCTCCTAAACCGATCTTCAAAGCCCAACAACTCCACGCCAAAGCGAATGCCACAACCAAATGTTCGTGTATCGGAAAGCCGCTCTCGAAGAGACGTTTTCCAGCGCCGTCGCTTTCGGCGCCGTCATGGTTTTGCTGCACCACAATCGAACTCCGAAAATAGGTCCAGAGCTTGTCGTATCTCTTGCAGCTTGCGGTACGCGTCCGAAAAGCCAGGTCTTCTCTGGCGCTGGCAGGGCGCTCCTCTCTTGGAACCTGCTTCTCGCTCAGAACTCTGTACAGTACAGGTCCATGATTGCGGCTGCTCTAGATCTAGGGGGAAACGCCAGCATAAATATGGGGCACCAGGCACTATTCGCGTAGAGTATGAGACAACTTGAACATCACATCTATGCCAATCGATTTCACCGGCCTTGAGCAGGGCAACCGGCCAAAAAACAAGCGGCCTTAAACGGGGACCGCTACTGCTGTATCCTTTCTATGTTCCTGCTCTCTTTACCGTCTCTGGCCGTGAAATTTTCGTTGTCTCACCTGCGTGTACCAACGTCGGAGAAACTCCTTGTCGATGTTCTCCGGTTCTCTGCCCTGCGAGATGTTCCCCTCGTACGTCTCCTGCGAGCGACACACATAGGATAAGGATTCACCCAAAAAAATGTGTCAGGGACGGGCCGGAGATATCGTGCATTGCATCTGCGAGGCGAGAGGGCTGAGTGTGGTGGCGCCAACAGATGCCTCCTTTCTTTATGCTCGCTTCGGACAAACACGCCCACGGCAAACGGTGTGCTTGCGGTGTTTGTCATAGTCAGCGTGTTCTTCGCGCCCCGCTCCAGTCTATGCCAATCAATCGAATAGACTATGCAGAGATGATAGAGGAGCCAAGCGCTCGTGGATAAGGGAGGCAACGTCGTACCGAGCGCGGCAGCGAATAGTTTATGGTGTTGGGCAAAGCGACGCGTAGGTGGCTCGTTGAATTGGCAAAAGGGGTGAAGCGAGAATTGGTTGATGCCCTGCAGGTGGTCTATCGAGGTGGGGGTTCAGCGAGGGAAGGAAACACATCTACGAAGCTCCCTCCAACACTCTTCCAAGCCCAGACCACAATCATCACCACCGTGAACCCGGATAAGGCTACAAATATACTGTGAAAATTGGTATTTGGTTCTGTCTGGCTCGGTGGGCTCTCGAGTCCACGTCAGCTGCGCGGGTTTGTCGACTTTCTTTGACGCCACGATTGGCAGTCAGCTTTTCGAATTCTCTCGTTCATCTTTGATCACCCCTTCTTGATACACTGCCGTGCTCTCGTGAGTCCACTCCGCCACAAACGCACACACCCGGCCACCCGCAGTATCGACAGCTACAGCTACACCGCACCTTCACCCAGTACCGGCTGGAGTCCGGGGTGTGTATCTCATCAACCAGAATTATGTTCCCGTCAGCATCCTTGCCCAGCTCGTACTTGGTGTCCACGAGAATCAAGCCGCGTTCTGCTGCCGCCTGCTCGAACAAGCGCCGTCCCACCCAGAGACCCACACTAAAGCCGGTCATGACCACGTTTCTAAAACGATTGACATCAGATTCGACAAGACTTCCTGTATCGAGATATAGATGTTCTGGGGGCGAAATCGAACACCGTGAAAAAACAAACACAATGACCCCTTGTTCCATTCATTTCCCTGGAGGCTTCCAACATGAATCGATTGGCGAATATTTTTCCTCACTCCCCCATCAATGTCGATGAACGTGTGCCCACGGAGGGCGTCCATGTCATTAAGGATGTGTGGCAGGCACCAAGCAGAAATCGGAACGGCCACATTGTGATGTAAGCCGCAACAACAAACACGACAAACGTGCTCTTCGTGCGACCACTGAACCAGTCGCATTCCAACCACCGCAGCAAGGTTGCAGCAGTCTGTCTCGAAGCGGGTATTGTGAGAGCACTTGATAACGTAGGATTCCTGACCAGAATACTGCCACTGTTGGACTAGACACGTCTTCCAACGCGGAGTCCTACATTCACACGTGTGCCCCTGTAGGCGTCCATTTTCCTCTCCTGCTAAGATTCACTGTAAAAGGAATTCAGCCCCGTCTCCTTTGATTCCATCTCGGGGGGAACAGATGATGTACTGCAACACTGAACACCATAAAGCACACTGCTACGTTGTCGACCACAATTAAGAGAGCGGCGTAACTAACCTCTTGCCCGAACCGAAACAGGGCGTGGGCCAGCCGGCTGCACTCATCCCAGTCTTGCTGCGACATCCGGCTTGAGGAAACAATTTCCTCCGCGCTAATCAGCTCGTCGTGCAAGTCGTCCTGAGAGGTTGGGGAGAAAACAACAAGGAACGCGAAACAATTAATAGATAATAGCACGATGTAGGGTTTTTCTCCATGGCGCTATTTGTTCAATTTTTTTTTACCGAACGGTGCCAGGAGTTTCCAAATGTTTCAAGTTTCCACTTTTCGGCTCGGCACCAAATCGAGGTTCAACAATCTACGGATTTGGAAATTTGGAAGCGAAAGAGCTGAAAATAAGGCCGCTAGACCAGAAAAAAAGAGGTGGTGGCTCAACCGCGTACAGAGCCCTACCGACAAGCCAGACAACCAGCGAGATGCCAGCTAAAACAAGCTGCACCTGAAGGGTAAGTCGAGGAACGACTTCGCCTTGCCTGGCTTCAAGAACCGCCATATGGCGCCCGACAGAAAGAAGGGCCCGCAACAGAACACGATTTTTCTCGCTGGATGCAAAAACATCCAAACTCGCATAGAATAATGAGCGTGCTGCGTCACTACAGCTACGGTCCGTCCGCACACATGCATTAAAATCATTGGTTTTGGCCGAGTCTAGGGATCTTGGTTGCAAGGGTTACGCTGCGAACATCCGCCATTTCTTTAGGTCTCTATGCAAGGGGTTCTTCAACCGGGGTCACAAATGGTGCGCATGTTCTGATGTTGTGATGAAAATGTCTAGCACGAAGTTCTTGATTGGCACGGTCTTTCAGTGCGGGCGCGAACTCTGTACGCTGTCTGCGATTTTGGTGCAAACAAAACGGGCTTTCCACGGTAAACTACTACCGTCTCAGCTACTGTAGCAACCTTGGCCCGAGGATATCGGGAAAAAAGGAACATATAGGGCTACCGCGGGATCCTTCAAACCACAGTGTGGTAGCCATTTCTCCTAAGTCATCGCAGCGGTCACAACAGCACATTCAACGTTGAAAAGAATCGGACGATAGTTGCGCTCCGCATTTCCGAGAGAGAGGATTTAGGGTGTTCCCCCACAACGAGCTTGTACCTTGGTCGTCGGCGTCAGGATGTTCCCCATGGGTAGCGCCTGGTTCTTGGACATCCCCTCTGGGAGGGTGTGTCCGCAGTACGCCCTGGTGCCCTTTTCGTAGTTCTTCCATATGGAGGTAGACGTGGACCCCGTGAGGTAGCCGCGCATCACGAACTCGATCGGGAAAACCTGGCAAAACATCCGGATATGCAACGTCAACAGCAGCAGCAGCAGAGGCAGCAGCAGCGGCAGCGGCAGCGGCAGCAACAGGAGCAGCACCAGCATACAACAACAACAACAACAACAGCTGTACTTTTCGCATCTACACACCACCAACAAGGTGTTCCCACCGCTGTGTTGTGCACTCAGTCAGCAGTCCACCTCACCTTGCACTTCTTTCCGACGCAGACATTGGGGTGCGGCGATCCAAGCAGGTGGTTTGGAGCAATATGTCGAGTCTTCTCGAACCACCATGCGCTCGTCTTTAGAATGCGTTCGGCAGGGAGTTTGGGTGGGGTATCGGAGTGTTGAGGGATTCTGTTCACGTGAGAGTAATGCAATATGTACTGAACCGTGGGGTTTAGAAACTGAGACAAATGTAAAAAGCAGCACGAAAAAAAAAAACTGTCGCAAACATAAACATTTCCGCGGCGCGTCTACCTCCAGATGTACCAGTTTTGTCTACCATATGTGCAAATACATACTAGTATTACTATATTGCACATAAATATGAGAGCTGGGATGATCAATCTACCTCATCACGAAAAACAAAAGGAGAAAAGTTTCGATACACCTCTCGATTCGTGCGTGTCATCCTTGCTCCAGGGGCCATGCTAATCTTCTCTGTATCGTTCCAATTTTTACGGATGATGACTTTCGTCATTCCGTTCGACGTCAAAATGATTTTTCATCTCAACGATTTTTATTCTTCCTCTGCGATGCCCGTGCGAGGTGGTACGCCCGTGAGTTTATCGATCTACCACATGCCATCCATATCACACAGTGTAGCACCACGCACGACGATCGGGAAACTCGCCATCTATCCTTGCACACTTTCCCCAGACTTGTTCTGCACAAAGTAGTTGTGTCCCATAGAAAAAAATAGAGATTGGCAAAAAAATTAGCGGGGGTTCAAAAAAACAGCGTATACCTACGGCAGCCAAAGATACCTTCTTTCTCACGCTGTTGGAGGAAGTGCGCCAGTCACCGGTTAGTTGTTGACCAATCCCCCGGCCCACAAATTTCAGAATACAGCAGTCGTCCCTCGGACAAGGAAACACACACATGACGTTTCGTTGAGACAGGTGCTCTTAAAAACCGGACGAGTGTCCATAAGATTGACACCCACCATGTGTTGTGCATTCTGCGGGACACCATGCCCGTGAAAAAAATATGTCCTTAACCGGGGGCAAGTGTCCATAAGTGGTGTCCATTGCCGAAGAACCACTACTGCTGTACCGCCATTTCGCACCTGGTTGAGGACCGCCCCCTTGAAGGGCACCCTAGCCAGCTGCCTGTCGAACGCGCTCTGCCGGTCTGTCGTCACGAGGACGATGGCGTCGTCGCAGATGTAGGTGTCCCTCACCTACGCATCAATACAGCAAATACGTGTCATGTACAGTCGACCCCGCTTTAACGACGCACATGGGTTTTCCCGAAAAAAGCGTCCTTAAAGCGGGGTTGCGTCCTTGACATTCAGGGGACGATTTCTCACCATCCCCGGGGCCAATGAAGGCATGGTATACCTCAAGCTACGCGTCATTTGATAAGGAAGGGTGGGGTACGAAAACTCAGCATCGCCGAGACGATGGGCAACCGTTTTGACGCCGAACATATCTATTACGTATTACTATAAGATGAGATATAGACACACGTGGTTTTGAAAACAACGCCGGCAGTGCAACAAGGAGGAAATTCCAGGATAAATATATATTGATCTCACTCTTGTTAAACAACAATCAGTGAGTCTACTGTATGGACCCTGGCTACTGTTGGAGACAGAGGCCGGTGCCTTGGCAGTATTATCCCACTGCCAGGGGAAGGCTATTTCCTCTCGTGATATGTAAACGAGGAGAAGAGGGTAGAAAGAAAGAGTGGCCAGAGAGAGCAGAGGGAGAGGAGAGTCGAAGACTCTCGGCTTCTCCTTTCGGCAAGTGGCCATGGACTTCGGAAGAGGCAAATCTCCGACGGTGCGTTTCTTGTCACTCTCCCAGTGACAAGATACCCCGATGGAGCTATATCTTCCTACAATTTGTATGTGCACTCATGGTTGGTAATACTCCCGACAAGTGTCCTCATCACCCCCCCCTCTATGCGCCACAAGTCCATCTCTGCTTAAGATGTGTTTTTGGAGGTCAGAGACATGAGTGGCTCATGGAGACACATGTATCGGAGTTGACCTACCTGGTACAACATCATCAACTCGGCCTGATCATCGTACAACGCGTGTTAAAAAACACGGAGTCCTCAGACGGAGTAGTGATAGATGTGGTCCATACTAGTATAGTCTAGAAGAAAAACAATTTGAGCACTGGGCTATCATGATGACAGCTAGTGTACTGTAATATTTCGCATGATCATGCTCGCGTAGCATGCTATGCTGTGGGGTTGATGAGGGATAAACTTGTAATGATGTGACCCTCTGGCAAGTTTGTCTGTTCATCATGACTAAAATCTTCAGGAGCGATACAAGACTTGTGATGAGGTGACCCTCCGGCAAGTCTGTCTATCCATCATACAATAAGATTTCGGTGAGGAATAAACTTGTAATGAGGTGACCCTCTGGCAAGTTTACCTATTCATCAAAAATAAGATCTCGATGAGGGATGAGCTTGTAATGAGGTGACCCTCTGGCAAGCTTATCCATTCATCTAAAATAAGATCTCGATGAGGGATGAGCTTGCAATGAGGTAACCCTCTGGCAAGCTTATCTATTCATCAAAAATACGATCTTGGGAAAACGGTGGTTTAGTTCAACTCTCCTCGTGAGTGCTTCCCCGAACACTTGAAAAAAAAAAAGGCTGTTTCCACTGGATACAACCCACCACCGTGGCTACTGGCCCTGTGCTAACATAACACAGAAGAAAAGTAGTAGAAAATGTCCCAAGTGTCGGAACAGATAGATATGGCAACTGTTAGGAACGACAGAATAAATCAATCATTTAATTTCCTGGCCCTAGATCGTTTTCGGTTGCTAGTACGGCAGGGTAATTGGGTATCACTCTGTGTCATAGCAGAACGCGAATTGGGTAATGGAACCTTTAGGCGCCTTCGTCGTCGTTTCCTGGTTTTGTTCAATGGCTCAGAGCCACTTTGCGTCACCAATTTCCGACTTGAAGGTTCTTGAGAAGTAGTTGCCTGTTTTCGTTTTCGTTTCCCTGTTTTACTGGGTGATTTTGGGTCTCCCTGTTCTACTGGGGCACGAGACGAAGAATTATCAGACTGCAGGATGTCCAAACCACAGCGAATTCGGTAGGCAGTTATCATTTCTTGACATTGTGGAATTTCGTCTGCTCTATATTCAAGGTCTGACTCAGGGTCGTATCCTCGAAGACGCAAACGATACTTGTAGTTGTACGGGGTTTTCGGCCCCCTACCACTCTTATGGCTCACCACTTGGTCAACGACGTAGGATTCAATTTTCGGTTGAGCTTCGTCGGGATGGTCTAGCTTGGGCAACGGAATCTGGCGTCCTAAGAAAAACTCGGAAAGTTTATCAAAGTCTGGCGCAGGTGGCGTTTTCCTTGCGTAGTATTGTTTAATGTGGGCTAAATGGACCGAAACTTCTCGAGTTTCGTTCTGGCGTCTCACTCTATATACCACCGGTGATCATTCAGAGCAGATGACGTATGGTCCTCTCCACGGTAACAATAATTTCGGATTTGGTCCATCCGAACCCTGGTATGGGCGGTACACAAGTATGAGATCACCAGGATTAAACACAGGGATAGGGCGCAGTTTAGCGTTCTTGGCAGCTTGTTTTTGTGTGCGTTCCGATAGGTTACGGCGCGCTAGTNCATTCAGAGCAGATGACGTATGGTCCTCTCCACGGTAACAATAATTTCGGATTTGGTCCATCCGAACCCTGGTATGGGCGGTACACAAGTATGAGATCACCAGGATTAAACACAGGGATAGGGCGCAGTTTAGCGTTCTTGGCAGCTTGTTTTTGTGTGCGTTCCGATAGGTTACGGCGCGCTAGTTCAAAAGCAACCTGTAAATTTTCCTGTGTAGTTTTAGAGAATTCCTCGGTATTTGCTGTTGTTCCCCCATGAGGGATGCCGAGAATATTGTCAACTGGTAGACGTGGCTTCCGACCAAACATAAGAAAGAATGGTGTTTCATGCATGGTGGAGCTAAATGACGTGTTGTAAGCCAGTTGGACAAAAGGCAGCAGTGATGCCCAGTTATCGCGGTTCATGGAACTATGCATGGCAAGCATTGCGTGCATGGTAGCATGTACTCGTTCTGAAACAGAATTGCCTTGCGGACGGTACGGTGTCGTGCGGGTTTTCTTATAGTTCAGAATACGCTGTAGTTGCTGGACTACACTGTTCTCAAATTCAGGTCCTTGGTCGGAATGCAACATTTCAGGCGATCCAAAGATGCTGATGATGCGGTCGATAATGGCCTGCGCGACAGTGATTGCTGACTTGTTGGGAATCGGAGTCAACACGGTGAATCGGGTTAGGTGGTCCATCATGGATAGGACATATTTGCACCGTACCCCGGCGGCTGAAACTGATTCTACTTTATATTCAACTAGGTCAACCGAAATACGTTCGAACGGTCTTTGTACTGGTACATGTCCCGTTGGTAATTTGTTTCGATTGTGGGCTGTTTTTCGACGTTGACAAGCTTGGCATTGTTCACACCAAGTACGGACGTCCCGATTCATGGTTGGCCACCAGTATTTCTGGCGGATCTTCTCATAAGTCGGTCTAGACGCTAAGTGGCCTCCAGATAATACGTGGTCGTGATAGGCGTGCAGCACTAGTCCGGTAAGGGCCTGAGGCAACACTAATTGGTCACTAAACGTACTACGTTTCCGGAGGTAGCCTGGTAAATACGATTTAAACAGCAATCCATCACGCATGAAGTAGTACGACATGGAAGTGGTTGTCTCGTTATCAGGTAAATGGGCGTCAGTTTTTGTAAGATAGTCGACATATGTGCCATATTCAAGAGCTTGTTTCTCACGCAAGATATCGCGGTTAATAGTTTCAAATACGTTGGTCGCACTAATATACACTGATTTCTCAGCGAATAATTCGCGATCACTTTGAACCGGTCGCAAGTTATCCAATCGATCTGCAGACACTTGGTACGGACGTGATGGAACATTCGAGTGCAGCGCAGGGTCATCAGGCACATTCCTACATATCGGTGCAAGTTGCGGTGCTTCCAACTGTTGTTGGTGATCGAACGCAAACAACCGCGATAGGGTGTCTGGGACTACATGTAACTTTCCTGGCTTGTGTCGCACTGTAAAGTCAAAGGACTGCAAAGCGATTGCCCATCTGGTCAACATATTAGACGTGTCTTGCATAGTGTACAAATATCTCAATGCCGCGTGATCCGTGACAACTTCGAAATGTCTGCCCCATAAGTAGGGTCGCCAGTGTTGTAAACTCAAGACCACACCGTAACATTCCTTCATCGTCGCAGAGTAGTGACGTTGAGCTTTGTTAAATCGTTGGCTAAAATAAGCGATAATATTCACGTCGTCGCCGTTCTTTTGGCCCAGGAATGCTCCTGCACCAACTTCACTAGCATCTACGTGAACCACGAAGTCTTTGGTAAAGTCAGGGAAACATAACACAGGTGCTTTGCTGAGTAAACGTTTGATATCTGCAAAAGCCTTATCATGTTCCTGGTTCCAACGTTTTGCGATTGATTTTACATGCTCTTTTTGTGTGAGTCCGACTAGCGGTGCGATGACCGTAGAAAGGTCGGGTATAAATTTCCTCACATAGTTAACCATTCCCAATACTGAGCGAAGTGCTTTGATTGTTTTGGGTACAGGCAAGTCGATAATAGATTGTATACGATCTTCCCCAATGCGAATCCCTTTTGCAGACAGTATGTGCCCCATGTATTTTACTTCCTGTGGTCCAAATTGTACTTTGGAGGGTTTCAAGGTAAGACCGGCCGCTTGGAGTGCTTGGAGCATGCTTTCTAATAAGGTTAGATGGCTCTCCCAATTTGAGCTGCAGCAAATAATGTCGTCCATGTACACCAAAAGTCCACTGCGTGGTCCGAAGTGAGAGAATGCCAGAGACATCATACGGGCAAACAGAAAAGGAGCATTCGCAATTCCGAAGGGGAGGCGTTTGAAAACCCATTTCCCTTTGTGTGTCACAAAAGCGGTCTTTTCTTGCTCTGCTTCGTCTACTTCAATTTGGTGGTAGGCTGACTGAATATCGCAGACAGTAATAAATTTTGCACCTCCAACGGTATCAATATGGGATTCTATATCTGGCATGGGCCAAGATTTTCGAATTAAACTCTTGTTAATAGTAGAGCGATAGTCAACGCAGAATCGAGGAGTGCCATCAGCTTTTGCTACGATGGTAACAGCAGATC